CTTCGTTTTGACATAATTCATACTTTTGCACGACATGGTTTTCACGTTAGTTACCATATTCTGGCGATGCCAAGCTCCAAATTCGCACACACAGCTACTTGAAGGAGGCACTGCAGGGATCGCCTCAGGCAGCGCCAGCGGCAAGTGTACGTGGGCTAGAGCTAACGGTTGCTATGAAATTAATGCAAAACACATGTGCGAAAAGCTACAATTGGCTGGAGCATCAGTTTACTCATTAACAATTCATACACATCATTCCTCACGGGTGAAGGAAGCTACGTGGTTTGTAATACTACCGGAAGATAGAATAAGTACCAGTGAACAAAAGAAGCTCATGTTTGTATACATTTGTATTTTTATTCACATCGAACTCGTACGACAAAAATGTAGTGAAATCAGTACCAAATCGGTGTCTTACTCCTTTGTCATTATTAGCTCCTGGTCATATCTATGCACAAATCAAAGAGATTTCTGCTACCGTTTCTTGTGACCAACAGCATACATCACATCCCCTGATATAGGCAGTAGATATTTAACCGTATACGGCAGAGTATATCCACTTCCGCTATTTTACCGTACACCACATTTGATTGGCTAGTATATTTATGATGTCATCGACATTACGTTCGAATCCCATAAGGTTTAGCTATCTAGAAAACTTTTAGGTTCAAATCCCATTTATTTCTACACATTTGTAGCCCCGTTTGATCGTAGAAGCTATTTTCCGAGAATCCCGTTTCCAATACGAAACCAACACATTCATACTAACATACATATTATATACACATACATAAATATACTAGCCAATTAGAAGCACTGCATGGTAAAATAGCGGAAGTGGATATTCTGCCGTATACGGTTAAATATCCACTGCGAATTATATATGGCACCATGTTGGCGAAAAACTCGCTTAAATTTGTGCACAGGTGTGAGGTTACATTTTCGACTGTACCATTTTACTCTACCATTAAAGATCTGCCATCTCTGCAGGAAATTAAGTTTGGCAGGGGTTGATGAGTGGTATAGTTTATTAGGTAGTTTAAGGGCCTGATCGGCTTTGTTTAGCACACTTACAAAAATGAGGGCCTGGGTCCCAAACTAGAAGACTACACCTTATTTTACTTCACCTGATATGCTTCATTTATTGCGATAAACTTGTCCTGTGCTGTTGGATCTTGGTTTTTATCTGGATGCCTAATAAAAAAAACATTTCAATTTCATTTTAGGACACTGTATTCGTCATTACAAATCGACTTCATGGTAGACCAATGACTAGATTTTCGGTATAAGCAATCTCTACTCAAGCACAGAATGTAGCACTGGCACTTTCCTACGCCCAGCTAAAGCCTAGCACAGACTTGCGACTTTTTCATGCAACTCGGCTGCAATTCTATAATCGCAGTCGAAATTGCTGTGAAATCGCTATGTCTGCGGGAACGTGCAACTGTAACTCGTAGCGATTCTGGTTGCTTGCAACGAGTTGCAAGAAATCAAACTGCTTCGAAATCGCTTCGAAATCGCATGTGCATGTGCGCACACACGGTGAAGCGTGCGACCGATCGCATGCCGTTGCAGGTTGCAGCGACGAGCAACCAAAAGTCGCAAGTCTGCGCTAGGCTTAACATAACGTTCAGTTCACTTGTGTTATTGTTGCTGGTGTTGTGATCAACTTTGAACTTAGGGTGAAAGTAGCTCTAGTAACTATAGCCCGCGTACAGTTGCCGCTGGCCACTGTACGCGGCCTATAGTTACTAGAGCTGAGAGGGTCTATGTACCCCGGGGTACTGCCGGAACGTACCCTGGGTACGGTGGGGTATACCGGAACGTACCCTGGTACTATCTAATATGCCGGACCGTACCTCGCCTACTCCACTAACGAGTCTAGGGATTACGCACCAACGCACTCATGCACACACGTGTACCTGCACACGCATGCATGCATGCCCGCACGTGTACGTGCACACGCACGCACGCACGTCTACGTGCATATGCACGTCTACGTGTATATCCTCCCCCTAAAGCTCCCCCCCACGGCTGCGCCGTGGGCACCTGGCCTTCGGCCAGCTGTTCGTCGACATCTGTTATTGATGCTAAATGGCCTGACCAATGTCTATTTGCTTCCGCCGGCCCTGGTGCAGGACGCACGTGCGTGTTGCAGTAGAAAATATAACGTCGGTATTCCTGTTCTATTATAATTATGTACCGGTACTAGAGAAGTCCTAACATTTATCTTTATTTTATAGTTCACTCTGTTGGTCAATATTATCTGGTTTCCCTATGGGTCCTATGGGGTATATCATAGATTATAGATATCATATATAACACGTTTACCGTGTTATATGATATATATGGGGTATAATATATTCGACCCCGATATTAGACGTATATTATTTGGTTTAAATTTGGCTCCGTTATGAACAATTAAGGCCTGTAGATGGCGCAAGTCCCGGCGTCATGACGTTGCAAAAGCGGGCGTAATTTGCGATGATGCATTTGTCTTATTTAGCAGACGAATGACCACGAATTAGGGAGCGATAATATTTATTATTATACGTCGCTGTAAATTGCTGTAAAAAGCTGTAATCTGTAGGCGAATACTGTTGTTTAAGTTTCTAGTCCTTTTTGCCAACACTAATCAGTCTAATGGAATAATTATTAGTTCTACTAGTACTACAGTCTACAGTTATTAAAGAAAAATGTTACCAGATACAGAGAAACGTTTACAGAAAAAAGGACGGACAGCAGACGCGTCACAAACAGATTCGGAAGCTGTAAATGATCGCGGTGATGGAGATGCGTCAGACGTGGAACCACTGGAATCATATGGAGAGGAAAACATACCTTTGGTAAGGAATCCTTACAGTTGTATTTATGATTACTAGCTGTAGGCGTGTAGCCTGTAGGCCTAATCCTGTGAATTGAACTACATCATGCACCGGCTGAGTCGGCGACTGGATGAAATCGAGAACACGGTAACCGGCTCATTGAATCATTGATGATTGATTTATGTCAGTGACAGTGTCAGTGTCATTGACAATAAATGACTAGTGACAATCTGTTTTAATTTATTGTCAATATTCATACAAATATATAGGGATACAATGGTGGGGGCAGTTACGTTAACTGATAAGCTCTCACAGTTACAGTAGCCTGAGTAGGCCCTACGTACTGCGTAATTTATTGCCATTTCACTATCTGTATAGCAACTAAGCAAAGCAAATTAATACATCTAATATCTATTTAGAAAATACGTGAATTCTTTTTTAAAAACGGCTATTTATTTGTTGCAGAAATCAAGGTATCAGAAGATCATATTTATTATTTAGTTCAAGTAGTTAGATGTATTGTTTGTTGATATAGTAGCTGAGTCACTCTACGACTACATCGAACTGTGTTAATTTCTTTTAAACTCATGATAGCAGCAAGCAGACAATAACGCTGGTGAAGATGCCCAGGCAGCTAAAAGCGCTCCAACAACAACTACTGATTACGAGTCAGTTTTTCAAGTAAGTTTAGGACCTACATGCTATTACGAAGGCAATCATGTGGATATCAGTAATTATAATCCACTCAGAAATGTCCAGTGTGCATTAATTATCATGTGTTGTTCAGAGTGAGTTTTACCATGGAGATTTATGTTATTTGGATAGAGTAAAAGAATCTACCATTTGAGGTGGCAACACTCCCACATTCACACCCACCTGATGCTCACCCCACCCCTTACATTTCACGCAGGCTGTTTTAAAGAAGTACTGTAGTGCAGATGGCAAGGGCGAAGCAGGGACAGCAGCAGTACAGAAGCAGCCAGATGACTTTGATACACTACTCGTATTTTCGCAAAAATGTGATTTAAATAAACTGTTGATACACCCCCATTAATTCATTTTTATAGCCCTACACAAATGCTGTCTAAGCCCATAGCGTAATTACTATCCCAATACAGATCCACAATCCCTTATCAACATTTTCAGAAATGCAAAACTTATGAAAACCAAAAGTTTTTCCGTCGAGCGTCACTCATTTGCATGACATGATCCGAGTGACGCTAAACATGATCTGACTTGGCTGATGCTTGACCCAAGCATGTGTATCATGGGAGCAGTGTTGTTTTTTGGCTTATTGAGTTTTTTGTTCTTACGAGGTACTGCCACAGATCATGCTAGGGTGATATAGTGACCGTGATACCATAATGTACTGTATACATGTGTATCATACTGCCATTCTAAAATTTTAAACATTCAGAATTCTGAAACATCTGGCCCAAGGGTTTCGGTAAGAGATTGTGCACCTGTATTTATGTTACTCACTGCCACACATATTCACTTATTTAACCCGAGTAGTTTGTGTTCTTAAATATAAAATCGATTGTGCTTCATGCTGGAAAATTAACAGTGCTCCATAAACTTAATGCCAGCCTATGCCCAAACACATTTATGTGTCATTTTCAACATTCAGTGGATGAGCAGGAGCCGGAGGATGAAGCAGAAGATAGTGTTATGAGGAAGCAAGCTCACCCAGTTCAGCATCAAAATGAGTAAAATACATTTACATTATTCATTTTATAAAGGCCTTCATTGACTAAAAGCTTAATTGTTTGAATAATTTATGCAGACCATATGGTTTAACAGATCTCTGGTCAAAATTTAATATCAGGGTATTATATACTACAGTAATGCTATATGCCAATGATATTGTTATTATCAGTATCAGTGTACTTAAATGAAAAGTTAAGCTGTTGCGAATTACCATAATACTAACTTTACTATGTCTAGTTGCGTATGCCTCACTATGAACCACTTGCTCTTTACAGAGAGAGGGAGCTATCATCAAACACTCAGAGCAATTCTTCTGACTCTGTGGCAGAGAATGAGACGCCATTGGGGACTTCTCCAGTACGGCCAAGCAAGCTGCATACACAGGATGTGTCTAGAAAACTTGAATTGTCGCCAAAACCCCTATTTTGTTAGTGCATACTTATCCTCCTAGATAACACTGTGACTACACTTCTATGCAGTTCACCACTTTTTTGATAAAGTCCGATGAATGAAATATTTTTAACGTAGGAACTATAT